TGAACAAAACCCAAAACCCACAGCTCATAAGAGAGAAAATAGACAAGTGGGACCTTATTAAACTGACAAGCTTCTGCAAAGCCAAAGAAACCATCAAGAGAGCAGGGAGAAAGCCTACAGACTGGGAAAAAGTATTTGCCAATTCCAGGTCCGACAAAGGCTTAACATCCTGGATCTACAAGGAACTCAAACGTGCTGAAAAGAAAAAAACAAACAACCCCATTATAAAATGGGCAAAAGATATGAACAGACACTTCACAAAGGAAGACATCCGAGCAGCCAACAAACACATGAAGAAATGTTCAACCTCACTAACCATCAGGGCGATGCAAATCAAAATCACACTGAGATACCACCTAACCCCAGTCAGAATGGCAATTATCAACAAGTCAAAATAACAGCTGCTGGAGAGGGTGTGGTGAAAAGGGAACACTTCTACACTGTTGGTGGGAGTGTAAACTAGTGCAACCTCTGTGGAAAGCAGTGTGGCGATTCCTAAAAGCTCTAAATAACAACCTCCCATATGACCCTGCAATCCCTCTACTGGGAATATATCCTGAAGAACAGAAATCACTCTATAAAAAAGATACCTACACACGCATGTTTATCACAGCGTTGTTCACAATAGCAAGAACCTGGAAAGAGCCGTGCTGCCCATCAAAAGAGGACTGGATTAAAAAATGTGGTACATATACACGATGGAATACTATGCAACCATAAAAAAGAACAAAATCATGAATTTCGCAGCAACCTGGATGGAACTAGAGTCTATAATACTGAATGACCTCTCACAGAAACAAAGATCCGAATATCACATGTTCTCACTCATATAATGGACCTTAAACATCCAATGCAATACTATACGAAAATGACTGACCATACTGGGAAACTATGGTGGGGGGAGGGAGATGGGATTAACAGTAGCAAATATCTGCCTGGGAACGGGGAAATGCCCCATATCAACAGGGTGCCTGAATGAAACGCAATTGTATACCTAACCCTTAACTGTACCCCACAACTTCATAATAAAAAAAAAAAAAGATGTGTCATCCCATTGTTTGTATCAGTTGTTTCATCCTTTGAATTATAGAGTAGTATACTAATATTTGCATATGACACGATTGTTTATTCTTCCTCTTTTTGAGAGACTTTTGAGTTGTTTTCAGTTTCTGGCTATTATGAAGAGAGTTTCAATAAACAGCATTCTAACAATAAAAAAAAAAAAAAAAAACAGACAGCATGACCTGGCCATAGCTCAAAGAGTACATGGCCACTCCAATAGCTTAGCAAGGCAAGGGCCTGGCAATGGCCATGGTAGTGGTGGTGGCAATGGCCTAGCAATGGCGGTGGCAATGGCCAAAACATAACTTAGTTACAGGTGGTTAAAAAACTAGTTAAAAAAAATCTGAGACTTATTTAATAGACAGGATATAACAGGACTTTTGCTGGTTAGAGTTAAAATAACAGACTGTGTGACTTATTATTTGTGGATTAAATTCTGCCTTTGACTTGATTGTATTCAACCCTGAGGACAAATGCTAAGAGATATTTCCCATTTAAGCCTTAAAGAAACACAACACGTTCACAGAAATGTGAAATGCTTCATATGTGGTAGTATTGCAAAACACTATGAAATGACAGTGTTGTTTCATAAAGGTCTCTGTGCCTCTTTCTGCTTGTCTCCATTCTGTTATGTGTCTTTTTCTCTCTGCCTCTGTCTTTTCACTTTATGGGGTGATATCTCGTACAGACCATGAGCTCCCGAGATGCTTGCTTAACCCTGTATTTCTAGGCACCTATTGCAGAGCATTTCACTTGAAAGTTATGATGAATGAATGGGTAAGTTGCTATATTGGTTAGTGAGGTATGAAAATGACCTGGTACCTGTTTCAAGGAGTTCACAATATAGTGGAACACACAAATAAAACAAACAACTATAATATAGTACAATATCCCTTTATTTCTTTGAGTTAGAAGAGGAATAAGGCAATTTGTTTCCTTTAATTAGCTTCTTAAGTCTTCATTTCCTGTTCATTGTCTCTTCTTCTTGGATGCCAGAATCAGCTCTGTCTTAATGCTGATAATGTAAATATACATGAATTCCAGAGCTCTTCTTGTTCTATTCAAGTCTTTCATGGATTGGATAATGCCCACCCATATAGGGAAAGGTTGTCTGCTTTTACTAAATCCACCAATTCAATGACTACTCTTTCCCAGAAACACCCTCATAGACAAACCTAGAAATAAAGTTTAATTAGATATCAGGGCATCCTATGATCTAGTCAAATTGACACATGAAATTAACCATAACAGGTGCCTTATTTTGGGTTTAAATCTGACAAAGCCTAGACTTTTAGAGAGTGTTATATATTACATTCTTTTTTATAAAGGGGTGGGGGAAGCATTTTCTAAGATCACATAGTGGGAAGCATAGCATTTGACGATAAGTTGGAAGCACACTTCTAGGGAAGTACAAAGGGCACAGGAGTTTATGCTGAGCAGGATGGCCATATATACATATTTATAAGTTATAGGAGGAGTTATGAATATTTATGAGGGAGGAAACATGCACACTTGCAGTTGAGCTTCATGCCTCTGCATTGGACCCATGTACCAAAAATGGTGGTGTAAACATGATCTAAGGGTGGAGTTTGGGGCCCTCTGATATCAGAAGGTGAAGCAGAGGACACAAAAACCCTCCCTGCCCATCCTCAATAGACTGACCAGAACCACTCCTGGTAGGTGGTCTCTTATCAGGAAGGAATACTGGTCAGTTGTGCAGAAGCCACAAAAGGGATGGGCAGCATCAAGCAGTTAGTTGATATCAGCTGAGGAATCTTTTGAAAGGGCTGGTTTCTGTTTGGCCCTTAGGGAAGAAAGCCTAATGGCAGTTAGTGAGGGAAGAGGTGTGAGGAGGGTGTCTGCTCTCCCATTCCGTCTGGGGTCTCCTTGGCCAAGAGAACGGGGTTGTTCAGTCAGCTGGGGGACTTAGAATTTTATTTTTCTCAGTATAAATAGGTGTATTAAATATTTGTGTGTGTGTGTGTGATAAAGCAGGATTTATTGAGAGGACAGAAAACCTCCCACAGTGAGAGAGGACCTGAGGGTGTTGCCCTATTAAATATTCTTCTAATTGTGTCAGTAGGCATGTTGAATATTGTTTTTCAACAATATTCAACATGTCATATCACACTGTATATTATTGTGCGTTCTGGGAGACTCGTAAAGGGAGGGCTAGCGGCAGTATCCTGAGTTTTTCTTTTGTTAGAAATTCCCCAAGACTTGATAAAACTTATCAAAAGAAAGCTTCCTAGGAGTCTTACCTAAAGGGCCATAATTATAGTGCTGATAGTGATCTTTGAGTACAGGGACCATGTCCTATTTATTATTGTCTTCCTGAAGTATGTGTTGCATAGTAGATGCTCAGGAATGTTGGTGAATTGAGATGAGAATGGGAGTCATGTGATAAGGGAAAAGATAATTTGGCTCTTTGATACAGACAACAGTATCTAACTTTACATTAATCTTTAATGGGTTGGAACACTGACCAGTGTTCTCCAAGAAGTTGAAACATACTCACTTGGTTTTATGAATTCAGAATTGTATCAGTATACATTTCTGACATAGCTAAAGCTCCAAGTCCTAATCAGATTTTCCAGAACAGTCTTTGTATTCCCTTTTTAATGTTATATGAGCTCCTTTAGCTTTCTTCATCTTTTCTATGATTTCCTAACAGCTCACTTCCTTGCCAAGGGCAGCATCTCTGATCATATTCCGTCCTTTTCTGCTTCCTCTAGGAACTAATTACATCAATCATCATCCTTTCTCAATAGCTTAAATTTTACCTTCTTGAGTTAGTGGTATATTTTCTTCTGCCATTATTTTCAAAAAATTTTCCTCAAAAGAATAGAAATAATAATAATAATAAATTGTTCCCTTGATCCTATTTATCTGCAAGCAGCCATTCATCCTGACTTTGTCTTCCCCTTTGCCATGAAAATTACAGAAACAAGTTTTTATTTACTTCTGTTTACTACCTGGTGCACACTCCTCTTCTTAGTGTTTTTTCTTTTTGATTTCTTCTTCAGCCTTTGACAATTTTGACTATTATAGCCTTGCATGGTAGAAGGAGGTGGGTTGTGGAGTCTGCAGCTGTGGGCTTGAATTCCAGCTCTTTCACTTCCTTTGTGATGTTGAGCAAAAAAAAAAAAAAAAAAAAATTCCTTATGTGTAAAATGGGCATGCCACACCCTTTTTCTTAAAGCATGATTAAGTACATGTTGAAGTACTTCCATGAGAGCTAAGGGAAGTGTGTTCAGTGACTATTTCTTCCCTTCCCTGTTTTGCTTATTTCTTGATTTCTGACACATTGCACGATCATGTACTGCCATACCATGAATACAATAAGTTGTTGTCCCCATTTTGTAGATGAGGCGTCATCTAGGAGGTCATAGAGCTCCATGGGATTCCATCCAAGAGCTATCTGACCCTAGAGTCCAGACCTGAAGCCTCTGTGCTAAATCTGTTCCTGAAACATCAGGGGTTTGTTCAAGTTCCTGTTGCTCACCACACAGAAAGCCAATCACTAAGATAGTAAGTATCATCAAAGAAGAGGCCTTTTTATTTAGGTGATACCAGCCAAGGAGAACATGAGATTCATTCTCAAATCCATCTCTTTGTCCTACTGAAGTCAGGGGTCTATATAAAGAGGTAGGAATGTAGAAAACAGAAATGACAGAGGGGTATAGAAGAGGAGTTGTTAAATAGGAATTAGGGAAGGGTGAGGAAGTAGAGTTGGTAAACAGGAATTAGGGAGGGGTCTGGCATCTCATTTTCTGGATGTGGTGATCTGGTAAGTTTCAGTTCCTTGATACTATGGGCCAAGGGTTGGTTTCCTGAGTAAGGAACTCAGATAAGACAAATGAGTTATAAGCTTTAAGACTGAAAGTGTCTGTTTCTATGTTTATTCAAAGAAATAACCATTGGTTCTATGGAGAAGCTGGGCTGGTTTCAAACTGCCTGCATGCTAAGAGTTGTTGGAAATGGTAAGGATCCTTGAGTTGTCCATACACCAGTTTCCTGTGTGATGTCTGTCTCATGAAAATATCTTTAAATAATTAGTATTTTATGAAATCTCTGAACTAACAGAGCTCTTTAAATGAAGTTTCCTTGCCTTTTTGTGTATGTGTGTGCATGAGACAAGCATAAATAAAAGGGCCCTAAACTGGCCTTTCATAGGAAATTAATTGGTAGACAACTGAGGAAGGATAGCAAGAGACAGACTGTTGTGTTTTGAGAAATCCAGATGGCACATAAAGTGCTAAACCAAGTAGTGATGACCATAAGCAGTTAGCCGTATGGTAGTGCTGAAGATGTCATGGGTTTATACACCATGGAGCTTTGCAGACCTCGCAGACTAGAAAAGTCAGAGGTAGCAGCTACGCCACTCCCCTAAATTAACCTTTTAACGGTGAAGGAAGTTCTTCCTGGTGTTCATCTGACCTAAGAGCATTGTTCCTGCTAAAGAAAACTAGTGATTTTTGTCAGCAACATGGACTCATTATCTTCTTGCCTGCAAAGAGAGAGGTTCATTAGCACTTTCTACCACCTGCCACAGATACCTTCCACGCCCTTTCTACTGCCTGCCAGGATGCCTTCTGTGCCCTGCTGTCTGAAAGGCGAGAGCCTGAATTAGGATTGCAGTGAGATGTAAAGTGGGATGATATTCTTGATATTCTTGAAGCGCCCAGGGAAGAGCACATGTCCCATGAAGAGCAAGCTTCACCAAAGCCCTTCATGTTTCTTTCCTTCTCATCTTTTCTCCTCTTTGGCAGCACCGTGGCCGTAGGTAGGACTCTGATCTTCCCTGAATTTTTCCTGTCTAGTTGTTGTCTAAGTGCAGGCAACTGCCAAGTAAAGATACTGTCCTATCCATTCAGTCTGTTCCTTGAATCTAGTTGCCAGACTTAAGGATGCTGCAGAGAACATGGAATCCAGAAGTAGGGAATTCTTTGGACTCAGGTAAAGTTTAAACCTTTGAGACAGTCATTCAACAATATACCTGAAATTGTATGTTGCAGTTATAAAGGAAAGGGTGGGCATCAGGTGTCTGCAGCAGGTGGTAACCTATTGCAGTAGTGGTTGAAGTCAGTCATGCACATGTGATAGCATCTTTACATGCAAAAGGAGTGGCCTACGTTGTAGCCAAGGAGGCAGGTCTGTAATTCTTATTTTATTAAATGTTTAAATACCATAGAAGAGTGCCCTGTAGTAATTTGTATTGTTTCCCTCCTTCCAAGGTAAGTAGATTTATTTTTAAGACACTTTAGAGTCACAAGTGGGAAGGTAGAGCTACTATATTTCTACTCCTTTACCTTCTTTACACTGTGAAATAGTGTCCTCTGTGACTATGAGTAGTTTGTAAGGTGTATATTAGTTTTATTATTTAAGGGTAATAAGCACTTTTGCTTAGCTAGTTGCTTAGTTAATTTATTACAGGAAAACTACAAATTTATTATTTTTTTTTAGATTTATTACGTAAGTTATAAGTCCAGAATGTATTCCACTTATGGAATGATGTTTTTGTAACAGATTTTATAACTTTTGTTTGGTGCTTTGGCAGGATTAGTCTAAGATATATAATCTTTTATGAGACATTGGTATGAAAATGCTGTTAAGGGGCATATTAGCCAGCTAGTTTATTATAGATAATAAAGGAGCTCTTGGGCTAAAACTAGTACATTTTTTCCCCCAAAAGGTAATTAATAAAATGTCTCCAACATCTCTAAAGATCACACTAAGGCAGCTCATGGAGGGGTCTTCAAAGACTTTGCAAGAAGTATTAACTATGGAATATCGGCTCAGTCAAGGTTGTATGGTAAGAATTTTTTTTAATTGTCATTTTTTAGTTATGAAAAGTAACTAAATGTAGAAATATAAAATACATTAAGGATAAAGAAGAAAATTAAAATTGCCTGTAAATCTACTTAATGAAAACACAGAGGTAGTTAGCTTTCCATGCACAGAAGTACTGCTGTCCAGATTGTTGTTAAGCCTTTATGACACAGCAGTTACATTTGCATGTAAGTGTAGGAGGTCGTCTAACCTGATGTGGAATTTATAATAGAAATTAGCCGTCCTTAGGCATGGTCTCTGTGACCTTGGGTAAGAAGCATAAACTCTCTAAATCTGAATTCCCTCTCAGTGAAATAAGGACTATTATGTGTGTGTGTGTGTGTGTGTGTATATATATACACACACACACATACATATATCTGCTTATTATATATATGTAAAATATAAAATATATATTATATGTAAAATAAATGCACAAATGGAAGTTTTAATTAATAAGCATGTGAAAGTGCTGTTGTAAATATAATTAAAATGGATAGTAATCTTGGAATTTGGATTTTATGAATGATTTCAGAGACATAGTTATTTCTTCTTCCTGATGATAACTCTTCACAGGTAGAATCATTTCCTATGTTCAGAGCCTCTAAGAAGCAGCATATCATTAAGATGAGTGTATTTATGGACTCTAGGAAGTATTTGGTTTGGTAATTGGGATGCAGACATCCCTGATGGTCTCGCATGTCTTAAAATAATAGTTATTAAGATATTCAAAGTAGTTTATCTAACTAGAAATAAAGCTGTATTGGCCATGCCTTAAAGTCTCTGCTTGTAGGATATCAATGCATCTGGAGTCTGTTGAGTGTTTATCACATGCAGGTGCTATGCTAGGCACTATGCATTTACTCTCCATTAAATTGTACACAATCTTGGAAGGAGAAGTACTACTACTGTCTCCATTTTACAGATGAGGAAACTGGCATAGAGAAGTAGCTGCCCAAGGTTGCAGGGCAATTAAGTGGCAGAGATGTGGCACATGAAACCAGGTAGTCTTACTTCTGTGCCTGCATGCCTTCCGCTCCCCTGAGTACCTCACACTCTCTGTGTTTTTCATGGCACTGCCTAGAGTGATGGACGCTTTCCTTCCTTCCTTCATTCTCTCAGCAAGTGTGTGAGCTATGTGCCAGTCACTGCTAAGAGATAGGGTTATAGCCGGGCTCAGTGGTTCAACCTGTAATCCTGCGCTTTGGGAGGCTGAGGTGAGTGGATTGCCTGAGCCCGCAGGTTCGAGACTCACCTGGGCAACTTGGCGAGACCTCATCTCTACAATAAATAAAAAAATTAGCTTGGTGTGGTAGCGTGCGCCTGTAGTTCCAGCTACTTGGAAGGCTGAGGTGGAAGGATCGCCGGGAGCGGCCACTGCACTCCAGTCTGGGTGACAGAGTGAGACTCCAACTCCAAAAAAAAAAAAGAGAGAGAGAGATAGGGTTATGCTGTTGAATAGAAGGCACAGTCCTTTGTTCTCATGGAGTTTAGTCTGCTGAGATGATAAAGAACAAGCAAACAAAATACGTACAATAATTAATAATTAATTCTCTAGAGGGAACATGCAGGGTTGGCAATAGGAGAGAATGACTTGGTGATGGGAGAGAGTTGAGGAGGCCAAGGGAACCTGCTCTAAGAAAGTAGGTCAAGGAGGAATCTTTGAGATTCACCTCAACTGTGACCAAAAGGATGAGAAAGGAGTGTATTAAGAAGCCTCTTGGGCTTAGGCAGGGGGTGATTTCATTTGTTACTTGGTTTGATCTGTTTTAAGAAGATAATTATTGCTGCTGAGTGTACATAGAGTTGAAGGGGTTCAGGAATGGATGTAGAGACCAGAGATGAGTTGACTGCAGTGATCCAGGTATGAAATGGCAGTGCTTAGACTAGAGTGGCAATGGAAAAAAGTAGATGGATTTGTGACAAGAGGGTAGAATTGATAGGACTTGATGGATGTGAGCGAAAGAATGCATTTAAGAGTTAGAGCTTAGAAGTATGAGTTAGAGATTTAAATCAGAAAGACATTAGCACCAACTTTTTAAAAAATAGTTGGGTATGATGGCTCATGCCTGTAATCCTACCACTTTGGGAGGCTGAGGTGGGAGGATCATGTGAGGCCAGGCATTTGAGACCAGCCCGGGCAACATAGCGAGACCCCATCTCTATAAAAAAAAATTTTTTTTCTTAAAAATTATCCAGGCTTAGTGGAATGACCTTGTAGTTCCAGCTATTCAGGAGGCCGAGACAGGAGGATCACTTCAGCCCAGGAGTTTGAGGCTACAGTGAGCCACGATTATGCCACTGTACTCCAGCCTGGGTGGTGGAGCAAGATTCTCTCTCCAAAAAAAAACTTTAGAGGTTTATTAATTACTAAACAAGTGCTTACTATGTGCTAGGCACTGTTAGAGGCACCAAGAATACATAGGTGAACAAAACGGACAAAATCCCTACCTTCACGGAACTTTGTAATGGGGAACCAGACTGTAAACAAGATAAATCCATAAGATGTATATTATATGATTATAAATATTAAGGAGAAAAAATAAAGCACGGAGGAGGCCATGGGATACACAGAGTTGAATCGTAGGCGAGATGACCCAAGAAGTCTCACTGAGATGTACTTTAAGTGAAGACCTGAAGGAAGTGTGGAAGGGAGCACTGGGAGGAAGAGCATCCCAGGCAGAGGGAACTGCAGACGCAAGGCTTGAGGCAGGGTGTGCCTACCTGTGTTAGGAAAGCTGAGGCCTTGTGGAGGGGATGGGGACGGAGGGGGGTGGGAGAGATGAGGCCAGAGGGGACAGTGCAGGGAGGGGCTGTCCAGGGCATGCAGGGCCTTGCAGGTCTCAGTTATGCCTTTGGCTTCTGTTCTGAGTCAAATGGGAAGCCACTAGATGGTTTTGAGCAGAGGAGTGCCATGATCTTATACTTTAACAGAATTGATCCTTTAGGCTGATGTGTTGAGCCCTGAATGGATCAGATAATACAGAAAGAAGACTGAAGAGTCCAGAGGAATTCCAGCATTTTGAGATGGCGTAGAGGAGGAGCAGTGGGAGAACCAGGAGGCCTTGGTGTCAGGGGTGGAGGTTGAGAAGGCAGAAAACAACTTCTGAGTTTTTATCTCGGAGATGGGGGAAGCGACTATAGATTGCTGGGTAGTTTTCATGCCTGAGATTTGTGATTATGGATTTTAAATGAAGCCAGCCACAGTTGTATGATTTTCTGCAGCAAGAGTCAGCTGCTCACATGCAAGCAGAGGAACACAGTGGGATTGAGCTGGTGCTGGGATTTCACCAGGATTGTTTCAAAGAGAAAAAGGTTTGAGGGAGATGAGTGCATTTTCAAAGGGAGGTGACAATATTAGAGGACTGTGAAGCTGGACTGGATGAAGAGCAGAGTGAAGCCAGCACAGAAGAGGAGGGAGTCAGAGGGTTGGTGGAGCCTTAAGATCAAGGATTCACAGCAGGGGAGATACTTGAGCAGAGAAGGTTAGGGGGTGGTGATCAGAGTGGGTTATCAGAGGGGGGCTTCAGTCTCTGAATGTCCTGTTTGGGTTGTGTCATGGGAGGGGGGAATGCTGAAGAAGAGGGTGGAGGAGAGAAACGACCACCCGGAGTCAGGATGCCCAGAATTTACCCCACTTTATCTCAATTTTCTTTCAGAGAGGACATGACTTTCATGAAGGCGTTAGAGCTGGTAAGTACCAAGCAGTCATGCTTCCTTCCTGGTTATTAGGGAGCTAGGATTTGTGAGCATATAATGTTAATGAAAGATGTAACAGGTTGCACATCCTACATTCCAAATCTGAAATGTTCCAAACTGTGAAACTTTCTAAGCACCAACATGACATTGAAAGAAATGCTCATTGGAGCATAAATAACACAAATATTCCAAAATCTGGGTAAAAAAACCCTCAAATCTGAAATGCTTGTGGTCCCAAATATTTCAGATAAGGAATATAGTCAACCTGTAGTTATTTTAGTGAAAACAAAACCTTTATAAAGATTACAGAGTTGTGTATTTTTTTTTTCAGTATTACCATCTGCAAGATCAGTCAGGGAAGATCAGTCTATGAAACTAATATTGTTTTAAAAACTCATGTAACTGGGACCCTGCTCCCTAATTTATATATGAGAGGAAATGCTACTCTGCGGTCATGGACCCCTCTGACAAGTGCTGTTTGAGCTTGTAAAGGCATCCTGCTATTGAGGCCTTGGAGCATGCATGTGTTCCTTGCAGAAAGCCCTCTAGTCCCCCTCCCCTTCTCCCTGGCAGAACTGAGCAGTGGTCGAACCCTGCTGTCCACCTTCTCGCCTGTTTCTGGGCAGTTAAACATTGCTGGGAAAAGACCATATGGAATAACTAGTAACATCTGCTCATGTTCTTATTAATACTTTCCATTTTTGCTTATCATCTCCAAAGTCAGCATATTTAGGAAAAGCAAGTGAAGTAGTTGTTTTTTCTCTTAGCAAATTTGCAAAAATTTCTTTTTATATGTAGCCTTTACCCCTATTAAGAGCTGTTATTTCTGTTGTATAAAGTGAGTTATTTTCCTGTGCATGCATTTTGCATATCTAATTTTCTTATATTTTTAATAATAATTGTACTGTAGTGCAGACTCAGGATATACTTTTTTATCTGACTAAAAGGTTATGTTCTCTGAGCTCTAAACTTTGATAGATACCACTCACTGTTATAGAATTCTCTTAATTTCGGGCATGATATTACACTAGAAGAAAGCACTTGATTCAAATCCTTTTAAAAGACACATGGCATTGAGTCAGAAGAAATATGCATTTTCCTCACTAATTCTCTGCAGATTCTTGCTGCATGTGGATTAGAGTCTAGACCTCTGATTTTAGGGGACCTGTGTGCTACTTGGGTTATACAGCTAAAGTATTCATTATATGTTATAACAGCCCTTCTTTAAAAAAGGAAGGCATTGTTTTGAATAAATGCTCTGTTATTTTAAAGAAAAAGTCAAAACCAAGCAGCATCAGAGTTCTGATTTGTAAAGCAAGCACTTTTCCTGCTACTTCTAATGAGGAGAAAGCATGTTGCCTCCTCTTTCACTTGAGCTCTATTCAAAAAGCACTGTCTATTTGGAGCAAAACTGGTTAGTGTTCTCGTGTCATCAAATGTGTGCTGCAATTTCTAATTATAAAAATATGTTAGCAAATTAGGGAAATGGTTGTTAAAAATTCTTATTCTTAACATCTACAACAAATTCTCTGGCTACAGAAGAAAATAAAAATAGACTGTCTTAGTAGGGCCAGATACCCACCAAATGGAGTCTCGGTGGGTATCTTGGGAGCCTGGCAAGAACTTAGGTTATATCCGTTCCAGTCTGTTCTAAGTTAAAAAAAAAATTGTGTTAGCTTGAAATAAAGTAACAGATTTGATTACTATTCTCTTTCCTTTTCCCCTTTAGTGGGACCTCAAAGAGGGGTGGATAGTGTTGGCCAGGAGACTTAAAGGGGAAGAGAATCTTGTGGAAAGAATGTCCCAGGATTATGCTTTCTTTACATTGTCCCTTCCTCCTTAGAACAGATCAGAACACCAATGTCCAATCTTGCCACCAACTGGATTCCAGAATCTCACAGTAGGCAGCCAAACCTTAATTCTTCTAGTATTGACATTTAATTCTGTATTAAACTTCTTTCCCTCTACCTACTATGTCAGACTTCTTCCTCGGTTCCCATCCCGTTTCTTTACCTATTTAGCCTTTAAGTGCTAAATTAGGTTTTTACAGTTCACTATAGTTTGCATATTTTACTATTTTCATTCTTCACAAGCACATTGTAAGCATGGTTGAAATTCACTGCCTCAATCTTTTTTTTTCCCCCCAAGTTTTGAGATGGCTGGGCATGGTGGCTCATGCCTATAATCTTAGCACTTTGTAAAGTCGAGGTGAGAGCATTGCCTGAGTCCAGGGGTTCAAGACCAGTCTGTGCACTTCAGTGAGACCTCGTCTCTACAATAAATCAAAAAATTAGCCGGGCATGGTGGCACATGCCTGTGGTTCCAGCCACTTGGAAGGCTAAGGCAGAAGCATCGCCTGAGCCCAGCAGGTCAAGGCTGCAGTGGCCATGAGTGTGCCACTGCACTCCAGCCTCAGCGACAGAGTGAGACTCCAACTAAAAGAAAAGTTTTGAAACAATTGTAGATTCACATGCAGTTGTAAGAAATAATACAGAGATCCTGCATGCCTTCCAGCCAGTTTCCCAGTGGTAACATTTGTGTAACTGTAGTGCACTGTCACAGCCAGGAAATGAGCATTGCCCACCTCCCTCCCTTATTTTAGGAGAGGTTGCAGATTGCCTCATAATCCTATGGGGATACTGTGTGACCATGCTGAATGATGACTACACTGAAATAGGAGAAGTGGAAGGTTTCGTGATAACCTGAGGTGGTCTGTGTTTTAAAATTCAGAGCTGTTGGAACTGGAGGATTCAGCAGAACAACAGTATCCATACTTAATTATGCATAAAGTCCCCTTCTTTTACCTTAAGCAATTAATTTTCCTCCCAAAACTCAATGTGAAGGAGGTTAAATGGCATATCTGGGTCCTCTGCCTTCCCCTTAAACCACACCAACTCTGATTTCAGCTATTTTGTAATGTAGAGGTTTCAGTTACAATTTTGTTTGAAGAAGAAAAAGGAGTTCTAATGTTTAATCACTTGATTAGTGATTAACATGGGCTTTATTAAAGCTAGAGACATGAGACTTACATAGAAGGTTAGAAAATGTCCACACTAGTCATCAGAAGTATATTGCTAGCCCATCCAGATTCCTTGGAGTGTTGATTTAAAAGAAAAATAGAACACTACAACAACTTGAACTTTGCGGAAAAAAAGGTGCTTTAGAGAAATATGCCTCATACAAGATATTTTTTGTCAGTTCAGTAATTAATATCTGGTAATACCAGAAAGAATGGGACTAATATTTGTATCTTCTCTTGACAGTTTTAATTGATAAAGACCAGAGTCCAAAGTGGAAGCCAGCTGATCTAAAAGAAGTAACTGATGAAGATTTGAATAATTACTTTAAGTCTCTGGGAAACAATGACTTGAAATTTTGAGGTGACAGGACTTTTAAGGTGTGGTTTGGAGCCAGAGTTGGCCAACTGGCACACAGTTCAGCCCAACGCCTGTCTCCATGCAAATTGCAAGCTAAGCATGTTTTCTGCACTTTCTGGGTTGGGAAAAGAAATCAAAGACTAATATTAATACTTCATGGTATGAAAAGTATATAAAATGCAAATATCAGTGTTCACAAATAAAGTTTTATTGGAACACAGCTATACTCATCTGTGTAGATATGACCTTCAGCTGCTTTGAATCGAGTCATTGCAACAGAGGTGCAAAGGCCCTCTATTCCTTAAATACTTACTGTTTGGTTTTTGTCAGAAAAAGTTTGCCAATGCTTGTTTTAGAAAATGAGAAAATTTGAAGATCAGTACCGATTCTTGAGTCAATATATCTAATTGAAGTGGGAACTTTGTTTGGCTTTGGGAAGTGGTTTATTTTTGATTAAATAAACTTAGATAAACTTAAAAAATAAAGATCCTGAAATATTTTTTGGGATACTGTGTTAATACCTCATAGAGTTTCCTCCATATATGAATGTATTTTAAAATAATTTAGTCTCTATAGCAGAAGAGCTCCTTTAATAAACATTAGAAATCTTGGGTGAAGAGAAAAGGTTTTTATGGTATTATCTCTGCAGTGTTATTAACTCACCTTTGGTCTTCCCTAAAATAATCAGAATGTCTTCCAATGGTGAAAGTGGAAGCATTATTTCTTGTTGTCTACAATATTTGTTAACCTGGCAGAACAAGATATTAGGAAATGCCAGTCCCTAAAATGAGATATTCTGCTTGTTGTAATTTACATCAAACTTTTGTGTGATAAATTATCCTTATACAGGGTTCAAATCAGGAGAAAAATTAAAACAAGATTTTTGTTGAAAATATATCTTCAATGATTGGTATTGGTATTATCAAAATAAGTGTTTTTTAAGATATGCAAGAAATGCAAGATGTTCCAGACTCAGAACCCTAAGTTAAAGTCCTAGGTAAGAATAATTCTTAAATTAAAGGTAATTTTTATCATTTATTTTGTAATTTGTTCTAGTTTCTCTTTTATCCCATATGCCTTAGGAACTAAGAGAGCTTCAAGTTTTTAAGAACAAAACCCAGCAGAATTAGAAAAAGACATCAAAAGTTATGTCCTGCACCCTTCTCATAGGTGAGGAAATTGCACCCCAAAAGGTATTGCTGTAAATTTTTTCATTTCTTAATTTGTCTTACATGAAGCATATTTATTGCAAAACAATTAGTAACAGATTTGGAATAAAAATGCCATGATATTGGACAACTTTACATTTATATACTTAAAGTTCCTAAACTGGACCTGAATAATTCATGAAGCTATCTATATAAATGGATTCTTATTCACTTTACATTTGTTAGTGGTGCCGAAAATGTTAACTTTTATGTTGAAAAGTTGAAAGCACGCAGTATAGAAAAGTTTGCTTTAATTCACTTAAATAAAAACTTAGAGCTAGTTCATTGCAACTAGACTTTTATTGTACGATTACCAAAAAAAAAATGTTTTCACAAAAATATTTGGAAAAAAATATACCACTTCATAGCATAGAAGGGATACTCTGCCAGTAAAACTTGAGTTTTATAAATTCAGATGCAAGTAGTGGTCCTGAGCCAGTGCCCACAGCTCCAAGGAAGACACGTCCTATTTGTTCATTCAGATACAGTATGAGGGCAATGATTAAGCAAGTGATTATTTGTTAGAACTTTGGTTTTAAATTACTATTCCTTGATATTACTTATAAAGTATTTCTAACTTTTCATTTCTCAACCTATGTGATACGAAGATATAGTTCTCCCATCTCATAAAATGCCAACGATACTGAGTAGGATATATGAGTATCATGCTACTTCATTTAGTGTGTCTGTTTTTAATACTAATAAGGCATTTTGACACAAATTATTCCTTTGGGACTAAGCTCATAATCATTTTTGTCCCTTTCAAAATTGTGCTTTTAGTGCTAATAACTGTAGGCAGATTGCAAGGAACAGATAAGGCAACTATGCATAGAGAATTCTAGGACCAGAGGCAGTAACTGAAGGGTAACAGTATGCAGAGACAGCTGAGAAGGAAGCAGTGACCATCTTTGCGGGCTGGGACTTTGTTAAGTAAGGACTTGGCACATCCATTTCTGGATAATTTGCCCCTGGGGTTGCCATGGGGGTGGGGGAGGCCTTGTTGTGCTGGGAAGGCTCATCTGCCCTTGTACTGGGTGTTCCAAATGTTTCCCTTTCTAGCAGCTACTAGCTCTTTCCATCTTCCGTTTTATGTTTCCTTCCTTCTCAAATAGTCCTTCTCCTCTCTTTTATTGTTCATGAAAAGACTTCAAAATGAAGTAAAGCCAGGATGTCACTATAAATGTATGAAAGAAGACAATTATCCTATCAGATATTCTGCTCCATCTTGTCATCAAGGCCAAACTGTTGTGATTCTGCCACATGTGTACACATTTGTTAGCTAGCTCCTTCTCCCATCTACCCCAACTGGGCTTATTCACCAGCTCAGTTATTATGCAAGCCTGTGGTTCCTTGCTCACGGGCTGATGTGTAGTATAGATAAGTCCCTTGGAAATACTGGAGACAAGAAATCACGATCTATTAAAATATGATTTAGGGGCGGGGGTACTCAGTAAAGAGACTCTGTTGCCACAGTTGCTGAGAGAGGATGGCAGCAGAGGTGAGGCTTCCCACTCACGATGGGTCTGGCAGGCAGCCCTGCTGTTATAGCCCTAGGAAACCAGGGCCCAGGGCAGAGAAGAAACCTGAAATTAGAATATTCAGATTTAACCACATCACTGTTTCTGTGCCTGTGTACACCGACAAATTTAGTGGGACATGCTGCCTTATGCAGCTTTGTCTTTTCACCATAGTACTTATTATATTTACCTACCTAATTACATTTTTTAAACAGCTAATGACCCCACAGTAAAGTGCCCTGATACAAGATATAAAATGTGTAGAAAGCAACCACATATAGGCTTTTGTCACTTAAAAAGCTAAACTTCACAATCTGGAGATATTTTATGCATATGGGAAGCTTTCTGCCCTCAGCCTTATGACCTCAGACCCTCGTATGAATAGGAGTGGTTGTTTTTCTATTATAAGTTGCTAGATTTCAAGTAAGACGGGAAACTACAAATCCTGGGACTAGGTAAAATTAAAGGTAAGTGTTGAGGTGTCCAAAGGCAACTGAGAGACAACATGTCACTCATTTCAAATAACTTTTTCTTTGCTCGTGTAACTTGGAGAATTCATTCTGTTTGATTGTGGGTTTCAAGTTATTATTTGTTAACATTAGAGATAGGTTTTCTGCCTTTATATTTCAATAACAATAGTGTAATTGTATCTTAATAAAAGGATCTAACATACACTGGTTTAAATAATTTCCTCTCCATTTAAACTCAATGTGTAGTGATTTTCCTACAAGTTACATCTTCTCAGTTTCTTTCTCCCCTCTTCCAAATTTCCTGTAACCACTAATCTTCATGCAGTACTTAATCCTTTAAAACAAAAACTTTGCATGTGTGTGCTGTGACACTAAAAATAAAGAAGAAATAGCTTTCCCAAAAGGTTGTCAGATGGGAAAATTGTATAATGACTGTAAATGCCCTATAGATATGTATTACTACAAAAAAGAAAAAAAAAGAAAAGAAAAAATAGATGAGTGCTTTCCTTGAAGGAATGTGGAATGTTCTATCTTTTTTGTTTTGTAATACAAGTATACATCCTTATGCATTATCTAGCCCCATAGTAATTTGAAAGGTGACTGCCCCACTAGTCCATAAAACAATTGGGAACAGTGCCACATTCTTGCCCTTTGCACCTCTGAGATAGTGATGCTTAATATACAGTTAGTACTGGAACTTTCTATCTTGCATATAAGGCTTCTACTCTCTTTAAGATTTACTGGATTGCTGTTTATAAGAAGTCCCCATGCTTGTTTTCTTGTATAATTATAGCACTGGGATTCAATGTGATAATGTCATGGCTTCTTTGACTCGTTATCTTCAGATGGCTTTATACACAAAGTCTAAGTCCTCCAGTAACAGTGTAATTAGTTAGGACCCTGAGGTTCAAGGGGGGTAATTATGCTTTTCATCTGAAAATATAAATATCTTACTAAGGACAGGGTTCAAGGTGGGCCTGTTCTACATGGGTTGCTTTCTAATGCTAGATCATTGTGTCCTAAAGTGGAGATCCTCAACACAGATGGTTTTGACAAACCAGACCCAGGTTTGCATGTTGATCAGGATGGCTTGCATGTCATTCCCTTGCCAAGGCATTTAGAGGAAAACCCCTTTTAATTTCCGGGCTGTTTTCAGTGTTAATTAACAGATATATTGATATTTTAAAGGAGGGCCTTTAAAATAACCATTTGGAACTTGGGGAAGTTTTTATTATTCAGCATTTTCTTTTTTTTAAACTGGATTTTATCGAATACTTTTTCTGTATTATTCAGCATTTTCTTTGTGATGCCATTACTGCCTCAGGAAGAAAGTGTTGTGACATATAGCTGATTCCAGGGTGTCACATGACCTCCGTTCAGCCCTTCAAATGACTACAATCCAAGACCAAGCAGAAATTGCTGTTAATGTAGAACTGCTGAAAACACATTTTATCTTAAGTATTCCTATATTAGTGACATGATCATAGACATGTTTTTACATCTAGATGGAATTATTTGTACATATTCACACCAGTTTTTGCTTGTTTCATGTATTTAAGCTAGCACCGACTAGATCTACAGTCAGGAAAGTGTCATCCTACGGCATCACTGTCACTCTCAATGTACGGGATGTCATGGTACTTGCTATTGTTGCATGCCCACTGCTTCAAGGCATCTTGCACGATTTCCTGTGACAGGCGGTGTGCATAATCTAAGACTACACAGCTGGCCTCTGAGGGCCTCTTCACTTCAACTGGAGAAGGCATCCTGGGGAGAAAGTGCTTTTTCGGTGTAAAGCTTTCTTCACTCTCATGTTCCTTCTCAGTTTGAGCATGTGAGAAAGTCTGCTTTGACTTCCCGCAGCCCATGTCCTGAGGCGCTATGGCAACCTGGAAGATGGTGGCAGCAAAGGCTACTTCAGCATCTTTGGAAGATGATGGAAGTTTGACCACGTGATGCTGGCTGGTGCTTTCCCTCTCCAGCACTTCAGGAACCGATGCTCCCTTCCAGCACTCTTCACATGTAGTGTTTATCTGTTAAGAGAAGAAAGTTTCATCTTGAAGTTATAGAACACAAAACAGTACGTGATTCAGTTGCATGTAGAACTCCTTTCACTACTTTGGTCGCATGAAATAAAGTGAGGTAACAAAAACACCTTTGTAGATGAAAAAGATAATCATTCAGCAGAAATGGCAATTTACAAAATAGGAAAACATTTTTTAAGATCTTGCACATTTTATAAAACTGAAAACAGTGTAACTTTTACTAGCTTAGATTTATGTATCTACACCAAGGGTCAGTAAACGAAAACTCTTGGGCCAAATTCAAGCTTCCTGTTTTTGTAAATAATCTTCATCAGAATGCAGCCATGCCCATTCATTGTTCACATATATCTTTGACTGCTTTCATGCTGCAATGGCAGAATTGAATAGTTGTGACAGACCATGTAGCCCACAAAGCTTAAAATATTTACTGTTTGGCTCTTTGTAGAAATTGTTTGCTGACTCCTGACCTATACTGCCAAGGGACACAAGCATATCAACATTTGCTCCTGCCTTAAAGCTGATGGACCTGCACATCTTGGACTGCTGTTAGAGTCAGGCTTTGTCCTCATCAGAAAATTACAACTCAAAGAACAGCAAGAGTGATGTCTTCACACTCATGCTCACGCTAAACATCACAGGTTAGACACAGCAAGGCTACTTGTTTTTTCTTCTGCGTTAAATATTCCCTATGAAATTATGTGAAAAGCTCAGGCTAATTTTACCCTTTGCACTCAGATGTCCTCTCTCAGGAGACATTGTAAATCTAGCAAGCTTCTCAGATGTCCCCTCTCAAGGGACATAAAGAGATTACTGGTGATTATACAGGACAAACTTATGCAAGTATAAATTTTTCAAAAATGTATGTCTCCTTGAAGTTTTCCATTCAAATTGCACAAAAACAAAGAGATAGAATATGTACTGAGATATGATCAATTGAGAATTGGTTTTCAGCAATCACATGTGTGTCCTTCCATATCTTATTTGAAAAACATAATTAGACAATAAATACATTTTAACGTAGGAGGGAAAAAAATGAGATTGCATTGTCTGTTCAATCAAAGAGAAAACACCAGGTGGAAGATGTCAAATCACTATTGCACATGTATCAATGAACCTGCAATGTATGTGTTTCACATGTTACCACACATTTTTAAAAGTTTGATTTTTTGGTCATGAATAAGTTCCTCAATGTCAAAAAGTCCATTATAAGCCAAATATCACTACAATACAATTACAATAGAACAATTGGTTCCAACATTATACTATTTAATATGAAATGAGATTTAGAAAAAAATTACAGTCAAGTTGCTGGTAGGTGATCTGCGAAATGGCTCTAAGTGCAAAAGGTTCAGATAAGGTTCAAGGGTTTTTGCCTCCTAAATATCTCATTCCCATCCTTGTTTGGTGTCTGGCTGATAAGTAGGCACCAATGCTTGTGATGAGCCTTCTAAGCTTCCCAAGTGGGTTGTCACTGAATGAACTTCAAGATAGGACTGAAAGATAACTAAAACACTACAAAACAATGCCTCTGTAGGGAAGACGAGCCATAGGAGAGCACAGGGAGTCTCTACGAATGAAGTTCACGGTTCCTGACTGTATCTTAGATTTTGGACTAAACACATAGCTCTAAACATTCATAGAATAAAACTCAATTGACTTGTTTCTGAAACTACTGATCTTAAGGTAAAAGCTAGCATGCATATAATTAATTTTTAAATTTGTAATTAAAGCTATCCAGAGAAGGTGTCTGTCAGGCCTACTTACATATATTCTTCAAATTTCTGTCAATTTGACCCAGTTGCTCTCATAATGCTGTATCTGTTCCCCACAATCTACCCCTAATAAGAGTGATATGGAGGTAGGAAGTCCAGCCTGCTGCTTTTGATGACCTTTGGTTCTGTATGTCCTGCTTCATGCTCAAGACTTGGGAGGTGTACTTAAAATGGAACCAAGGGATGTGTGTGTGCCTGTCCTGCTTACTAGATACAACTCTTGGATATGGGTGCTGTCCTGTTTGTGTATCACCAGCATGTCATGACTCACCATAGTATCTGCTTTGTAATATGAGGATGGTAAAGGGAATTGGATGTGGTTAACCTGAAAAAAATTACTTAGAGGATTCAGTGAGTCTCAGGTAAGTAAAAGGCTTTGAGTGGAATCTTCAGAATATTCTGTGTTTTCTAGGATCTTTGGTTTTGCAAAAACAACTTTTAAAGTAACTAGTAGCGGATTTTAAAGTAACTAGTAAACTTTTAAAGTAACTAGTAGCGTTGAAAACACCTTTGAATCTGGGCAGAATATTTTCAGATATTGAGCAACAAGCAACACAGGACTATTTCTGAGAGAAGGAAACGCAAGATGTGAAATCCCACGACCGGTCTTCCCCTGTTCTGCCTGGGGTTGTCTTCCATCTTTACCACGGGACATGGAGCTCAAGGAAAGTGGCAGTTCTGTTGAGCTGAGGGAGCAGAGGTTTAGGTTACTGAAGCAATTGGAATTTATAAGACAGTTCAAGAGAAAGAGAACCTTGGGAAGAAAGGCAGAAATTTGCGTGGGGACTCATCTAGGGTGCCTGTCTGAAGACTGGGATGTGCATGTGCAGGATGAGGTTCTGCCAGATCCAGTAGAAGATGACTCACTCTGCAACTTGGAGTTGAACAGCAATACTGGAAGTTAGACAGCGCTGGGAATCCCGGGAGTATCAACCAGAGTGGAAAGATCTCATTGAACACTTAAGTCATTTAGTTACTACTAGAAGTGTGACACCTTAGGAGTCAGGAGCCAGGGTTGGCAGATGTTTCCTTAAAGGGCTAGATGGCAAATGGCTTAGGCTTGTGGGCCATATGTAGCCACAGAATGGATGATGGTTGCTCTGTAAGTTGAAACCTGATCCCCAGTGTGATGGTATTCGCAGGTGGAGCCTTTGGGAGATGGCATTAAAGTATTAGTGCCCTTATAAAAGAGACTCCAGGGAGCTTCCTTGCTCCCACCGCCATGTGAGGACACAGTGAGAAGTGGGCCTTTACCAGACACCAAATATCCCACTGCTTTGACTTTGGACTTCCTAGCCCCCAGAACTGTGAGAAATAAGTTTAAGTTGTTTATGAACACCCATCTATGGTATTTTGTTATGGCCTGAATGGACTAAACACATACAGTTGGTGCCACAGTTATTCAGCTCTGCTGTCATAGCACAAGAGTAGTCATAGACAGTATGTAAACAAATGGGCATGGCTGTATGCCAATAAAACTTCATTCACAAAACGAGGAAGCCAGTCTATGGGCCATATTAGAGTAAGTTTAAACAAAAATAGTACTGCTCTAACAAAAAGTAAAACAGTATCATTTAAAAGAAGATAACATGATCCAGACTCTGTACAAAGTGTACCTACAATGTCTATCATTCAGTAAAAAAATTACTAGCCATACAAAGAAGTAGGAAAATGTGACATGCAATCAAGAAAAACAAACACAGCTCCACATTACCCAGCACTTCCTAATAGGACATAATTAATATAACTTTAAAGCAGGTATTCAAATATACTCAAGAACATAAAGGAAAAAAGTTATAAAGAGTGAGCAAATAAATGCCAGAGAAATGGACATTTCCATAAAAATGGAAACTTGAGAACTAAGATGTACAATATGTGGAATGAAAATGTTGTTGGATGACCTGTTAAATGTTGCAAAAGAAAGGTGTCATGAACTTGACCATATATTTATAGATTTATAAAGTCTGAAAAATGGAGGAAAATATTTTTAAAAATTGAATAGAGAAACCACTAAAAACAACACTTATATGATGTACCAACAATGAGGTATTTAGATACATTTAATCCAGCAAGAGATAGGAAAGGAGGAACGTAGGAAGAAAAATAAAATGGGATAATTAGAAAACAGCGATGTGGCCATTTTTCATATAAAAATTATTTGAAAGGAAATGGACTGAAAATTGCAATTTGAAAGGCAGAGATGATCAGATTAGTTAAAAAAATGAGATCCCAACCACACAAATACAGTCAACTGATCTTTGGTGGAGATAATACAATAAGAAAAGGTATTTTCAACAAGAAGGGCTAGAACAACTGAACATCCACATGCAAAAAAACCCCAGAAAACTAGACACAGCTTTTGTACCCTTTACAAAAATTAATTCAAAATAGATCATAGACATAAATATAAAATACGGAACTATAGCAGTCCTAGAAGATAACACAGGTTTGGCAGTGACCTTTTAAATTCATCACCAAAAGCATGATCCATGAAAGAAATATATTGAACTTCAGTAAAATTAACAACTTCTGCTCTGCGTAAGACATGGTCAAGAAAATGAGAAGACAAGCCACAGACTAGGAGAAAATATTGTAAAAGCATATTTGATAAAATATCCCAACTATGCTATATACAAAGAATTCAAAATTCAACAATAAGAATATCAACAACCTAATTTTAAAATGGGCCAAAGATCTGAACAGACACCAAAAGCAGTGTGTCTATTTTATTTAAAAATTAAAAGGAATCATAGTTCTAAATGTAAAATTATAAGACTTAAGACAAAATATTTGTGATCTTGGATAGGCAAAGAGTTCTTAGATTGATACCAAAATGTGAACCATAAAAGAAAAAATTGGTAAGTTAGACTAAATCAAAATTGAAAACTGTTGCTTTGGAAAATCAAGAGAATGAAAAGACCAGCAAATATAAAAGATACTTGCTAAATGACTTGAATCTAGAATACATAAATAACTACAAAAACTCAACAGCAAGAAAACAAAGAACCTAGTTTAGAAAATATACAAAAGGTTCAGGCAGTCATTTCACTCAGTACCACCCATAAGCACATAAGGACATGAAAGGTGGTCAACATCTTTAGTCACTGGGGAAATGCAAATTTAAAACCACGGTAAGATTCCATTGTACATTTATTAGGTTGGGTAAAGTAATACCAAGTGCTGGTGAGTATGCAGAGCAACCTGAACCCTTGTACT